GTTTTTTGCTTTTCCTCTCATTTTATCTGTGAGTTTTCAGTGTTTTTCTGTTATAATTTTCTCATTGCTCACTCAGAAAACCACATTTGTCCCACTTGAAGCAATGCTTCCCGGCCATCACTAATTAAACTGTTGTGTGTGTGTGTGTTTTTTTCTAGACCCATTACTCTGTGGCTGAGACATCAGTGTGCCAGTCAGTCTCCCAGCTGGAGGCATTGCAGGCTGTGGTGGAGTGTCAGCAACCAGAACCTGACCTGTACAGGTAATCGTCAATTAAGTGTACACATCCTTCAAGATAAATCTAAGGGTATATTGTGTGGATTCAGACAACAGATGTTTAAAAAAGGTACTTAGTCCCATTAAACCACATAAAAAAAAAAGCAACAACAACTTATTCTGGGTAACTAAAGCAGTCAGAGGGTTATGTAACTATTTGAAAAAGCTTTGAAAAAACATGTTTACCAAACGTCTGAAGAAAATCTCGTAATACATGAACAAGGCATCTCTCCATATGTGCAGGTGCAAAAGTAAAAAATATAAATGGTTGCAAGTGCATGTGGATACTTAAATCAGAGGAAGAATTGCCAATAATCCGGAGGTGTGAGGGCAGATGCACCAGCTTGGGTTGTGTTTGGGTGGAAAAACCTGATTGAGTATACGGTCTTAAAAATTCCACTATGATAGCAACCTTTCCTGTCTGTTTGAGAAACTAAAATCTGAACTGTTACCATTCTTTTTGACTATTAGAGAGGAATGCACATTGTGTCTGAAAACCTTTTCAATGTGTGATCCTATTTGATAAAGTAGCTCAAGAATTGCCTGCGAGTTAATGTTCAACTTGAGGTTGGTGGATGGAAAAAAACAAAACAAAATCTAGCCAGGAAATTATTGTCACAAGACCACAGCTGAACTTCAAATGTAGGATGAAGATTATTCAGTATTTATCAATCATAAGATGTAAAATGTTTCGTCATGCTTGGACAAATGGCTTCATTATGTAACTCACCATAGGCCAAATTTATATTCACAAAGCACTGATTTATGTTGACTGTCCATTAGGGTGTTTTTTCTTTGTTGTTTTTTTTTTTTTAGATCTTTATTGTAACTTGTCTTTCTTTTTTTGTGGCATCTTGAATGTAGAATATATAGATGCAGTATTAGAGGTCCATTACATTACATTTGCTGCTCATTATCACAAAAATGCATAATAATAAAAAAGAGAGCTTTTTTGTTGTCTTTTTGGGAAAATGCATTTGTTTCTTTATTATTTTTATTATTATTATATATTATTAAAATTGCATCTGTCACACATTGGATCGATCTAGTCTGATCAAAATTGAATCTCTGAATGTCAGCTTTCTCTTTTCTGTTTGTCATTTCTTCTAAGTGCTCTATGAGTCACAAAGCTTCCTTAAGCTGCAGAGGCATTAATCCAATTACTTAAATATGTCAGAGAATGGTGGATGGATAAAAATATAAACATAGGCTTTAAAGTAATTTGGTCATCACAGTGCATGTAAGTCTCAGGTTTTCTGTTCTTTCCTGAATTTTTCCTTTTACTTTGTGCATGCAAACAGAGTATCCTGTTTGGTTTATCAATCCACTTAACTCTGTTTTTTCTTTCTTTCTTCTTTTTCCCAGATTTGTTGGTCGTATGACGGTGACTCAGCATGGGGAGGAGATAGTTAGGTGAGATGAGTTTTCTGTCTATTATAGTACCTATAGCTATAAGCACTAGAGCTAATGATACAGCACCATTAAAAGAGAGTGAACATAAAAAAATAAATGAAAATTGTTACTTAAATATGGAGACTGCGCATTCATTGTAAGATGCATAATGTCACTGGATACAGATACAGATGTATTTTTCTCTTGTTTGTATTTGTCAGACCGCTGGGTCCAGAGAATTTGCTGCTGCGAGGGGCCAGGTTGAAAAATACTAAAGAAATCTTTGGTGAGTCAAAATAAAAGGAACAAAAATAAATGGTTCAGCAAAGCACAAACTTCACGTAAGAATGAGGCCGATTAAGAATTCACATTTTTCGCTACATTTGGAAGTATGATTTACCTTTTTGTGCTGTTGCAGGTGTGGCTGTTTATACAGGCATGGAGTCCAAGATGGCACTCAACTATAAATGCAAGTCCCAGAAACGCTCTGCCGTAGAGAAGTAAGCTATTTTATTATTGCTTTTTAAGATGTGCTTAATGAAGTCTCCAACTTAATATTTCCCAATGTTCACGATGTCAGGTCCATGAATACCTTCCTCATCATCTACCTGATCATCTTGCTGTCCGAGGCCATTCTCAGCACCATCCTAAAGTATGCCTGGCAGGCTGAGATCAAATGGGACGAACCTTTCTACAACCAAAAGACAGAAGCGGAGAGAAACAGCAGTCCGGTTAGTCTGCTTTGTTTTTACGACCAGAGGAATGCATTCTTATTGATCTGTTTTTGTGAAGACTGCAGGCTATCGGCTCCAGAGATTAGATGAGTTGAGATTTTAGTTGACATTCCACTTCTTCTCTCTGTTTACATTTGCACCCTGCGCTGTCCTTCACTTTCTGATCCCCGTAAAAATTATAAGGGGCCTATAATATAATGTAGATGTAAATTAATTAATGGTAAAGATTCTTTGAATTGACATGCACAATACGTCCACAAAACTACTTGTGTTAGTGTTTCTAGATTTTGTGACAAGACACTAGAAAGGAAATGCCTGTCACTGGGCCAGCCTGCCAGCCTATCAGCCAACCTGCCAGCAGTAATCAGTCACGGGGAACAATAGCCCTTATGTATTGAGACAGCAAGAGATTAAAAAAAAAAAATCATAGTTGTGCACAAGCCGTCCTGCTTCCTGGGCACACAGGAAAAAACCCAGGAAATAATAAAGCTCTTGTAAAGTCTGAACTCTTTCTAATATCCCGGTCCAAGGATAGCTAAACTTATATTTGTAATATTAAATCACACATTTCTGAGAGTCCTTCTTGTGTCTATAATGCAGACAAACGTATATCTAAGTCATTAATTATAATTTCTTTATTTTAATTAGCATGTTAGTCAGGCTCACATAAAGGCTTATACAGTGCAAACATGGCTTTTAATAGCTGGTCATATGTTCAGTCTGTGCTCCTTATCCTTTCCTGTCAGTTAAATAATCAGTCCCTTAATGTCAGTGAATTACCTCGCCTACTTTGGTTTCATTATTCTGTATATGGCTGAGATATATGTAAGC